AAGCTCTCTCAGCTGGTCTCTCGGACTGGAATGGCTTCTTCAATATACACCCCACCTATCTTTAAATATCCAGCTCAAAACACCAGCCTTGTAGCTTTCAGGAGTGCTCCAGGCTAAATTCATGTTTCTCTGTTTTGAGTCTCTTGGCACTCAATTTTTTCTTAAATCTTTTTTTGCCTTTGTATACAGAGGTTAAGTACATGGAGTTTGCCATCAGACAGATGTGACTGCAGGTTTGAAATCCGGCTCTATCAACTATTATCTGAGTGAATTAACTTCTCTTGGTGTCAGTTTCCTCATTAGAGGCACTCTTCTGGTACAGGGACATAAGACACGAAATCAGGTGTCACACCGAGTTTGAATCCTGGCTTCACCATACACTAGCTGGGGCCCCTAGAAAGTTCGTTAACCTTTCTAAGGCTGAGGGTCTTCATCTGTAAAATGGGCATACTAATACGAGATACTTCCAAGGGTGATTGTGAGGATTAAATGAGGTAATCCATGTAAAGTGTTCAGCAAATTCCTGGACCGTAGTCACGATTATCAAAGCAGGGGCCAATCACTCTTGGGAGGAGTGATTCTTCCTTCTTTGGGTATTTCCTTCCATGTAGAAAGAGCTCAACTGGTGTAAGAGCCCTGGTCTCTTTCTGCCCTTTTACTTATTGCACCTTGGAGGGTGTGGGTGGAGTGGAGTAACTGACTTCATTGGTAAATTCAGGGAGAACAAATTGAGCATGCTTGGCTCCTCCCTCGCTTCCTCTTGCGAGTTAGTTGCCCACATGAAGCAAAGACTGCTTCCCTGTTGCTCCATGCCATACACTTTGTAGAGAATAGTCTTTCCATTCAGGGGTCTACTCAGGTCCAGGGATATCTGTGTGAGTTTATTTACTTCTAGGTTACAGTATTGGGAAATCCACTCATCTGAAAATATATGCTCTACCAGTAATAAAGATGATATGTCTTGTACCTTTGTCTTTTCTTAATTCATTCAGAACTCAGACAGGGAGTGAGAAGATTCCTTATTGGACTCAACAGTACCTATTTCTTTTGGTTTTGGTGATGATTAAATTACATGATGCATAAAAGCATATATCATATATCATAGCATCTAGCCAAACACAGGTGTTTGTATGAATTAGAACTCCTTGATGTAAACAACTCTCTGGCCAACTTACATAGATCAGGAATCTATTGGAAGGCCATGGGATTTCCTGCCATCAAAGGAAAAGCTTAAGAACTACACTCAGAGAGGAAAGGAGACAAAGCTCTGGCCAGAACCGATTGAGTCTTGACTTGGGGCACTGCCATTCAGGGTATAAGCTCCACCTGCTTTCAGTGTTTTTGTCACTCTGCTCAAAACTCAAATTCCAGGGAGGGAGTCTTTGATGCATGTGACTTAGGTCACATGTTCACCCCTTAACAGGTGAAGGCAAGACATCTTGATCTCTGAGAGCTTCATCAAACAGTGACCAGTGGGGGACATATGGCTCCCACTCCTCAGTCACAAAATGGGGGATGAATGCTGGATGGCAAAATCAAACAAATATACTAATCACTAACCTCTACAATCAATAAATATAATTTATAATCATTCTCATCATCAATTCCCCAACTAGATTTAAAGCATCCTAGAGGGAAATAACTAAGTCTTACACTTCTTTCCGTACTTCACAGCATTGAACATATTTCCTTCCCATTCTTACTTCCAAAAGCACACTTTGATTTACTCTAAATGTCCTCTCATCTTATTCCTTGATACCATGTTTTTCTTGTCCCAAACCACATTGTGTCTCATTTCTAGGCAGGTCATCCTAAAGCATAGTGCTTCCTGAGCACACTGGAGCAGTTAGTGAGTACACATTGACTGATTAATTATGAAGGTGAGTTGTCATTGCCTATTACATTGAAAGGAGGCACGGTGAGTTGGTCCTTCTGTAGAAGGCAGAACACAATGGGGAGTGCAAAATGTGAGCCATCACTTGTCATTGAGATTCCAAGACATGTGGTTTGATGGTCAAACACGAGAGAGAGGGTAATAGAGAATGTCAGAGAGTCAGAGACTGAGATAAACCCAGAAAGAGACTGGAAGAGATCAAGACAAGGGAAGGACTGAGGTAGAGGAACTGTAACAGAAGTCTTCCATGGCCCCATAGACGTCAAAGGGGAATAGGTATTGCTTAAGTATAAGTTGTTGAGGGACTACTTCTTGGTATTTTGGAAAAGCAAGAAGGATCGTCCACTATCATAACCATTTGAAATAACTTCTTCTGGGACATACAGACTATGATTATCTTTCATTGTGAAGAATGCTTTTTCTCCAGCAGCATTGACATCACCGAGTCAGCTGGAGATTCAGAATCTTGGGTCCCACCCCAGACTTATGAAGTCAGTCCTGCATTTTGACTCCCAGGTGGCTCACATACACATTATAGTTTGAGAACACTGCCCTGGGGTATTCGAAGATCGTTAGAGGGAAAATCAGAAGACTTGGGTTCTAACATTCCCTTCACCACTGTCCAGCCCTGTGACTCTTTTGTTAGTGCCCACGAGATGATTGAGGCAATTCCAACTCCTAGTAAGCCTGTGTACAGCAGAGGAACCCTGCCTAGTCTTTTTGCGCCATCCTCTCACCTGCTGGCACTGTATCAGACAATGCTTCACTGTTATTCATAGGGTTTTCATGGCCAATTTTTTTGGAAGTGAGTAGCTATGTCCTTCTTCCTAGTGTGTCTTAGTCTGGAAGCTCTGCTGAAACCACTCCACCATGGGTAACCCTTCTGGTATTTGAGATACTGGTGGCATAGCTTTCAGCATCACAGCAGCTCGCAGCCACCACAGTATGACAACCAATAGATGGGTGATGAGGTTACCACTGGGAAACAAAACTGGGCTGCGGTGGTGAGAGCACCCGATCTTAACCACTAAATCACCAGGGCTGGCTCATGTGACTCTAGAAATGACTTATTCTCCCTGAGTCTCAGTTTCCTTATCTGTGTAGAGGGCGTGACATATCTGCACTCCTTGTTTTTAGGACTTACTGGGCAGAACCAATGAAATCTGAATGTGAAGATATTTTGAAAACTAGAAAGGGCCCTGCAAATAGAATATCTTCGGTCGCTTAGTACCTGAAGCTGGAGGGACACTGACCTTTCCCCCAGCCATTACTTGTGAGTTTAACTTTCCTGATGTATTCCTTCTTTCGAGCTCTGAGTAGACCTCACTGTGTGTGAAGGCGATGCGAACAAGTCAGCAGATGATGCCTTTATTTTTGAACACGTTAATTTCTTTATCAGCTCTATTTATTTTCCGAGGGCATCACTGTATCACATTAATGCCTCAAGTTGTTAACAATACCAGCTGGCACTGCAGGCATCACTTCTACTCACAGTGTAAAAGCTCAGGGGGTAGCATGGAAATTGCCATCCAAACCCCAATGCTGGCTCGCCTTCTTGGCATGCCTTTTATCTCCCTTGGGAGCAGATCCACTGTTCCCCCCTCTGTTTCCAAAGCCTTCTATTTATGATATCATTTAGTATCTCTGCAGTTTATTTTGTTCTTCTCTGGTGGATTTTGAGGTCTTGGGGGAGCAGAGACTCTTCATAGTTCCTTTTTGATCTCTGTCTCCTCAGGGCTTAGCACACAGAAGGAAAGCAAGAAATACCTGTCCAATTTGAATGGTGGAGGAAAATACAAAATCTACCATTTTGTGCTTATTCATTCATTTATTCTCAGCATCAGTGGAAATTTCAGATAGGCTATCTTTGACAGTATAGACTAGACTCTATTCCTATATGCTCCCAGAGCACTCTTCAAAATGCTCATTACGTAAGTATGTACATCTTGAATGAATGGCTTTCCTGATAGCTTGTGAGCTCTCAGGAGCTCCTGATAGCAGGACTGTCTCTCTTATTCCTCCTCATAGCCTCAGGACTCAGAAGAATGTCTGTCCCATAGTAGGTGTTCAATAAATATCTGTAGAGTCAAAGTGAGTGATTTGATATAGATTCCAACTTTTGAAGAGTCCTACCTCTACTGTTCCTTTCCCCAACCAATTTATTTCAACAGTAAACCTTCCCTCGTTGGAAATCTGGCCAATTTCTTCCCAGTTTAGGAAGTTTCCCTATCAATTCTTTTCCCTAATGGCTTACTACCTGGAGGGAAGGAAAGTAACATTTACTGAATGCCTACTTTCAACAATATGTGATAAGTGTTACTATCTCTACTTTTCTAGTGATAAAAATGATGCTCAGAAGGGTAAGTGGCATGAACAAGGGCATAGAGCTACTAAGAGGCAGGATTTCAACCCATTCTAACTGAATTTACAGTCGCCTTTTCCACGGAATCATATTGCTGGTGCAGTGGATGGAAAAGTTGTACTTTATCCCCGGCGTCTGTTCTTCAAGGCAGCAACTTTGTCTGAATAGGGGCCACAGACCTGGTCAGTGTTTGAGAAAAGCGATATTCTGAACTTAATTCCTTGTATAGATTTATTTTCAACAAGAATCATTTCATTACTCAACCACACTAAGCTGTCTCCTTCCATGTAACTTGACCGTGGCCTCATTCCATCTTTCTCAGATCTAGGGCAGTGATGGTCAGCCTGTCTCTCCTAGATGCTTGTTGGTGATCCTTTCATCCGGTGGTAGGAACTGGATTAAGGCTCAGCATAAGCTCTGATACAAATGTATTCGTATTTTCAAGAAATACATCTTCCTCTCTCCCAGATAAACTATCTGTCCTTGGCTTCTACTTACACAGGGCTTGTTCAAGTCAGATATTTCATAAAGTCTAAGGAGGAAAAATGGTGATCAGTATGATTATTGTCTGCCTGTAGAGCTACTGATAACCATTATTTATGGTTAAGTACATATTCAAAATACTCACTCAAAAATACATATTCTCATACTTTATATTTCATTTAATCTATTACTTAATGTTTTAATTGGTTTTTTGAAGCATCCTTTCGACATTCATTTGCCAAATAAGTATTCGATGCCTACCTTGCATCAGGCGCTTTGCCAGGCACTGAGAATGCCAAGTGAAGAAATCAAGGGCTTTGGTCTCAAGTAGAATTCATTCCTATAAAAAGTGCCCATGTCTGCCTGATGGACTCCAGGAAGGCTTCCGAGAGGAGGAGGCATTGATGGAGACTGGATAGAGGAGAGGGATGAAGATGTCTAGAAGCAGTCAGCTGGTAACTGAGAAAAGGATATGGTATGGGAAGGTCAGGGTGATAAGAACAAATGGAAAAACAACCAATTCTATAGTCCAGTAAGTTCTGCCCATGTACTACTATTTCAATGCCTTTACGAAGAAAACAGGATTTTTTAAAGGAGAGAATAGGAGTGTCCAAAAACATTCAAGGTCATAGTTTTGGTCTGAGCACATTCTAATAGGTTTTTCCTGTCCTTGTGTGGTCATTGTAGTGGAAAAGGACTCTGCATTTCAATTACCAGGAAAGAGCCATCAGGCTGAGCAGAGAAAGAAGCCCTTCACGGGGTCTTCTAAGATCAGGAGTGGCTGCAGTGATCTTGACAGAGACAAATGGGACAATCTGGTCACCGAGAATGGAGTGGCAACTGTGATAAAGGGCCCTTCTGTTAATGGCAGTGTCTTCTCCAACCAAGCCACAGGGTACTCTAGAAATACGTATGGGTCTTCCAGCCCCCAAGCATTTTTTTCTCTTGGGAAAGAGAAGCAATTTCATACAGCTGGAGGGACTTGGGTCAAAGTTACCTTGGAGACTCTTGTTTAGACTTGATGGATAGTTTCTTTTAAATGCTGGCCACCATATGACTTATTCTTCATATCATGCAACCCAGAGAGCAGATAGTCTGAAATCCTCTTTTTAGATGGGAAAAATGTGACCTAGAGAGGTCAAGCAGTTACCCAAAGTCACACAGCTGATTTGTGCCAGGTCTCTACTAATCCAGTGCTGACCTGCCTTTTTCAACATTAGTTTATTAGTTATTTCATTAATAATTATTTACTGAATGCCTATGGTGTGCTAAACATCCTGTTAGACTATGGATTATTTTCAATGGAGAGGCAGCCTCCAGTTGGGAGTTCAGCACTTACTGCTGTTGGGTCTTGGGCTAGTTGCATAAACTCTCTGAGCCTCAGTTTTCCCATCTGTCAAATGGAGGAGATAAAAGTCTCTGTCACAGGGCTATCATAAAGATTAAATGAGATAATGCATAGAGTTTAGCATGGCATCTGGAACACTTAATACCGAGGTCACCACAATTTAATCCTTCTGGGCTCTTCTGTCACAGCAAAGATCTTTACTCTTTACTTCTTATGTCTGCCTGCCCTAAAGATGGTTATCAGAAGGTTTACTTCCTCCAACTGCTTTCACTCACTCTAAGTCCCTCTAAATCCCTGATTGACAGCTGTGGAAGGCTGGAGCTTATCTTGGTCACAGCCACCTCCTTCTCCAGACACTCTTTCCCCCTCCTCCAGGATCTTGGCAGCCTCTCCTGGGGGGGATTTGGATGTGTTCTCATTACAGCCTCATAACCTTGAGCGGGAACCTCGTCAATGGTACACCTGCATTTCCTGAATCCATTCAGACAGGAACAGGGCCCAGCTCCCGGATAACATATCATCCATCTCTGAGCCCAGCCAGGTTTGGGTTGGCTCACAAGATCTGGGACTTGTCATAATCTCCGGCATTCTAAGAATGGGTTCCATAGATCCCTGGAGTTAAAAAAAAAAAAAACATAATAAGCAGCACAGCATATCAGCCCTTTTGGCAAGAACCAACAGAGGAGCAGAGTTCAGCACATACTTGGCTGTGCATGTTCCTAACAGCATAATAGAGTTTTCTCGGTTCCTTCTGAAGCATGATCACATCTAATGTAGTATGTCATCTTCTGGGCAAGGTTTTTGCCCATGCAGGGTCATCCTGCTTCTCTGGTCTCCTTTTGCAAATCATCCTCCCTATGAGTGCATGTGCAACCTACTTTTGTGCACAACTAGCTGGGGGAAAGCTAGTTATTCAGTGTGCATTAATGATGGCAATACCTTCCCGAGGGAGGCAGAAGCTTCGGCAGAGGTCTGGAACAGATCTGCACAATACTCTATCTGCATAAGGCAGCTCCAGCATCAGTGAATTCCTTATTCCACAGCTTGGGAGGCTCATTTGTATGGTTATCTTTTGTGGTTTCTTTGTCCCTTTTGATTTGAGGAATAAGCTCTTTTTATTTTGGATCTCTTGAGGGAATCTTGGAGGCTCTTGTCTTGCTCTCTTTTTGGTCATCTGTGAAAACGAGGCTGTAGCTTTGATGTGGCAAAAGAAATGAACGGAGAAAAAGAGACTTTTTTTTTGGTGAGGGTTACTTACATGATACTACATCCGTTTGTCATTTAACCTTCATGACACTGGCACTCGGAGAGGTTAATTGATTGGCAGAAGATCACCAGGACCTTGTCTATTTCTCCCCAGGTTTGTCTGCCTCCACAGACCATGACCTACAACACAGATGAAATGATTTCGTCATTTTATTATCTCTTCTCCAAGTCAGGAGTTCATTTTTCATCCTCAAATTAGCCTCCTTCTCACACTTGTGTGTTCTTTTGATCTAAACATCATGCATCCTTTAGGATTTGGGGCACCGTATAGTCTTCCCATCTGGATTCCAGTAAGGATGTATTTTCCTTATATACTTATTTTTTACAACATTACATGCTTTGACTTCCTAACAAAACTACCCAAGTTTCTTCCAATTTGATTAGTGTTGGAAATATTGATACAGAGTGGAGCTATTAATTCTTAAAACCTCTTTTTCCAGTTTATGTTAGCTTGAAATATAACTAGAGCTTTTCTTTCCACATGATTTTATCCCGAAAAATCCTATTCTTGGCATTCAGTATTTAAAGGCATTTATCCCAAACTACTTGTTTTATTCATATTTTTGGTCATACATTCATTTATGTTTTAGTGTCAGCAATAATTTGAAAAGTATTTGAAGACAGGTAATTGTATAATGGCAGTAGGACCTCTGTTTAATAGAGCATGTGCAGAATGGGGTTGGCCTACATAATTTTGCAGTATGGGAAGCTGCAAGGGGTGGTGTATGGCTGGGTCCCAGGATTCATGTGTGGAGCCAGCACACCTCAAAGCAGCCTGGACTTATCCTGAAGGTGATGGTGTATCATAGGATGTTCACCCCTAGGTACGATTTTTCTTGTGGATTTTTTTCGTAGGTACCCTTTATAAGATTGAGAAAGTTCCTTTCTATTTCCAGCCTGCTATGAGATTTTTAAATCATAAAGTGGAGATGACTTCTGTTTAAATACTTCTGCACTGAATTGAGAATATGATAATTAGCCTTTATGTTCTTAATGTTTTAAGAGTTCAGTTTTTTTGAATATCAAACTAATCTTACTTTCTTGGAATAACCTTTCTTGGTCATACTGTATTAACCTTTTAAAACATTGCTGGATTGGGTTTACTAATATGATTTTTGCATCTTCATGACCAAGATCATCCTGGAACTTTCAATTCTTGTAATGTCCTTGTCAGATTTTGGCATAAAGATTTTACTGGTCTCATAAAATGTTTGGGAGTGTTCCATTTTATGCTGTTCTCTGAAACAATCCGTGTATAATTGGCTAGGTCTTCCTCAAATGTTTGGTGGAATACACTGGTGAAGCTATTGGGTATGGAGTTTCTTTGTGGAAAGTTTACAATTATGGATTCAATTTCTTTAACGTTATAGGATGATTCAGATATTCTATTTTTTCTTGAGTTAGTGTGAACAAATTGTATTTTTAATGTAAATTTTTCTATTTTATCAAACTTTAAAATTGAATGACCTAAAATTGTTTATTTTCTTGCTATCTTTTAAAATATCTGCAAGATCTGTAACGATTTTCCTTTTTTCTTACCTAACATTGGTTATTTTCCTTTTTCTCTTTTCTCTTGATTAGTCTTGCTAGATAGTTATCCATTTTAGTACTCTTTCCAAAGAATGAACTTTGGTCTTTGTTGATTCTATTATAAGTTTGCTTTCTCTTTTCTTAATTTATGCTTCTATTTTTCTCCTTTACTCCATTTTCTTTGGCTATAATTTGCTCTTCTATTTCTAGTTTCTTGAGATGATTGCTTACCTTATCACTTTTTAGTCTTTCTTTTTTCATAATGTATGTATTTAAAGGTAGAGATTTCCTTTACGATGCATACTATAAGTATTATTATGTACAGTTATCTTGATCTTTTAGTTTAAAATATTTTCTAATTTTTTTTATTTCATTCTTTGAATAATGTGTTATTTAGAAGGGCATTCCTCAATTTTCAAACACATGGGAATTTGTAGGTTTTTGGTCATTGATTCTTAGCTTAATTGCATTATGATCTAAAAAGATATTCTGTATATTTTCAATTATTTGACACTGGTTGAGACCTATTTTATGACCAAAGATATGGTTGAGCTTTGTAACTACTTCATGTGTATTTGGAAAGAATCTCTATTGAGTAGAATGTTCATATACAGCAATTAGGTTACATTTACCAGTGTGTAGTCTATATCTTCACTGATTGTTTCTGACTACTTATACTGTTATTGAAAGAGATATGATAAAAACTCCCACTAAGAAATTGAATTTGTCTATTTCTCCTTTCAGTTCTATCAGTTGTTGTTTTATATATTTTGGCCTACGTTATTTGGTGCATATAAATGTATAATGGCTATATCTTCCTAGCAAATAAAAGCTTTTTTATTATGAAGTTTATTTTTTATTCATTTGAAATACTTTTGGCCTTAAAGTATGCTTTTTCTGATATTAACTTAGCTACACTAGTTTTTTCAGTTATTCTTTGCATGGTATATCTTCTTCATTCTTTTAATTTTTACATCCTTTTATAATATCTCCATCTTTTAGATAACTCTTGTGAACAGTTGATAGTTGAGTTTTGTTTTATTATAAAGCCTGACAACCTTTTCCTTTAATTGGAACATTTGGTCTATTTACGTTTAATTTATCACTGATACATTTGGTTTGAATCTCTCATTTTACTGTTAGTTTTCTATTTATATCAATCAATGTATATTCCAACATTTCTGTTACTTCTTTCATATTAATTGAATGCTTTTATCATTTCATTTCCCTCTTCTGTTAGCTCAGTAGTTACACACTTTTACTAATCTTTTGGTGGTATATTGGTCAGTTGGGGCTACTATAACAAAACACCATAAACTGGGTGGCTTAGCAAAAACAGAAATTTATTTCTACAGTTTTGGAGGCTGAAAGTCCAAGATCATGGTACTAACATGGTTGGGTTCTGGTGAGAGCCCTCTTCTGTGTTGCAGATGGGGAAATTCTCCTTGTATCCTTACATAGCAGAAAGAGAGAGAAGCAAGCTCTCTCATGACTCTATAAGGGCACTAATCTCATCTATAATGGCTCCACTCTCATGACCTCACCCGATCCTAATTATCTCCTGAAGGCCCCACCTCCTGATACAATCACATCGGGGAGTAGGGTTTTAACATATAAATTTTCGGGGAACACACACATTCAGTCTACAACAGGTGGTTACCCTAGAGATTAAAACATGTTCTTACTTTCGGTTATTGCATTTTTTAGTTTTAAAATTTCCATTTGATTATTTTCTGTAGCTTCCAATTATTTGCCAAAGTTCTGAATCTTGCCTTTTATCTCCTTTATAAGCATTTGTTATTCTAAAGTCTATGACTAATATTTTTATTATCTAGAACCACTTGGATCTTTTTCTGTTTTCTGTTTCTCTTCGTTCTTGTGTGTCACCTTTGTCTTCTCATTGTGCCGTTTTCCTTTTGATTATGTGCTGGACATTGTATGATGAAAATTAGGGGGAAAAAAAGACATAGAATCATCTTCTCTTTCTCCAAAGAGGATTTATGCTTGTTATGGAAGACAATTAGGGGCACTAGCATTAGTTTTCCCTTTGTTATTTAGAGTGATATGGGAATGTCTAATGAGATGTTTCTGCCCAAGGATGTGCCTTCTTTTAATTCATGGTCTAAGCTGAAGTCATGTTAATCCAATTTCAGGGAATGAAATGATTTGAATCTTGGCTTCAATTTCTTTAACGGTTAATCTTCATCCATTTTACTCTTACTCATAGGATGTTGAGACTTTAGAGTTCCAAAAGTTTATCAGTGCCTCTTTTGGTGACTCTGGACTCCAATTTTTGTCACTCTGATTAATCTATTAAAATTTCTGTTCTGCAACTCAGATTCTCATCAACCTCTTCTGGAATCAGCAGATACTCTAAGGGTAAAGAGGTTCCATTGTTGAACTTACCTCTCTCGGTTTCCAACTTCTTTCAGATCTGTCTCATAATTTCTCATTGCTTTTTTAGCTCCCCAATGATTTCAAGCAGATTAAAATAAAATGTTGTTCATATTTTCTAGTTGTCCTCAGTGAGAGTGTTGGGTAGACTGCTTGGTCCACCACTTGAGAATCTATTTAATTATCTTAAAATGAAATTGCCTCCTTTCTGTGCTGCCTAAGGGAACCAAAGAGAGGAATTAGGTCCAAGCTTATGCTGTGGGTTTTAAGGTGAATATAACATTCTCCAGAGTCTGGGCAAGATAGTGACAAGAAGAATTATGAGAGCACTCCAAAGTGAAGGTGAAATTTAAGTAGGAAAAATTCAGGACCACTGCTGTAACTTCTCATTTTATCATAGATGCCTCTGTTTTTCCTATAATAAGATACAAGCTAATTTCAGGTTTTATTAAAGAAGTTTTTCTATCTGTAACCACAACTGTATTCTGAGAAGGGTGATTATTGATAGCGTGAAGACTTTTCAGATCTATTGAGCACCTTGGTAGATATGGATATTCAAGAAGGGGAGAAAAACTGAATAACTCCACAAAATAGGAGAAGAAATTGGAGTTTTATGTGGCAATCATAGATGGAGGAGGTGAGGGGAAACAAGCAGAAAGGTTAAGAAACATAGATGCCAGTGTGGCAGAGTTTATGAGCACAGTGGTGTGACTCTTGACTCTCTGCCTCCTCTTCCATCACCCCTCCCAAATCTTCAGTAAAATCAAATAAACTCAACTTTTATAGTAGAAAGCAAAACATGGATTATTTTGTGTCCATTGACATGATGTAGGACGAAGGCCTGCAATAGAAACCCAGAAGAGGGATTTGGACTTTCACAGGCTGTATGGGGCAGCCTGTGTGTCCCTCATGACCTCTGGGCTACAAATAAAACTGTTTCTCCTCCTGTGTGGAGTCTCTTCGTGGGAAACTCCCCTCAGTGTAAACTTGGGACAATCTTGTGTTTCTCTGTGATGATGGAAGCTCTCTTTTCACACCATATTACCATCCCCACACCAGTCATAGGGAGGTGTTACAGCTTAAAATGACAGAAGGCACAGTGACCTAGGAGTCCAAGAATCTGTGTTTCAATTCTGCCTCTGTCTCAAATGGTTGTAGGCTTGGTTGCCTTATCTTCAGTCTCTGTTTCTTCATCTAAAATGGAGTTGTATTGAATTAGTGGTTTGTGATTATTCTCTGAGGAATCCTTTGTTAAAATGAAATTTTAAATGGAAGCATACATACATAAAGCAAGTACAATGAACTCTAGTTGAAATAGAGGAGGGTTAGGGGTGGAAATCTCACCTGAATGTGCTTCCTCAACCCACAACCCCTAAAGAGGCTCAGTAGAGTAAGGTTTGATAGTCAGTGGACTGGATGGCTCCTTTGTTCCAGCCATCTCCTTAGACAGAGAAGAATGAACACCATCTTTCAATCATCTAAAAACAATAGTAATTGAAGGAAAGATTACTTTTTCCCTTATTGAAGTGAGAGATGGAGAGTGGAAAGGAAGCTTACATTTATAGAGGACTTATCAAGTACCAGACAGAGAGCTAAGCCCTTTCCTTAACCTTCCTAAGGGCTTTGTGGAGTTGGTTTTATGGCCAATGGAGGAGCACATGAAGCTCAGAGATGAGTATTTGGCCCAAGGTAACATGGCTA